ACGTTATGATGTGTTATTGATTACAATAACAATACAAATGATATACATATATGAGAAAAACATAAGCGACTGCTTGTCACCGTTTCTATGACTACCAACTTGTAGTTACTAATGTCTTCCATTCACGTTATAATGTGTTATTGATTACAATAACAATACAAATGATATACATATATGAGAAAAACATAAGCGGCTGATTGTCACCGTTTCTACGACTACCAACTTGTAGTTACTAATGTCTTCCATTCACGTTATAATGCCTTATTGATTCAATATTGTGTTAGTTATATGTATTAATCACAGAATTTTTTTTTCCACAATAAAATTATTTTAAGTTCTGAATGTGTGTGAAAGAGACACTCGATTAATATTTTAAAGCACCAGGAAAAATATGAGTGTGAAAATGTATAATAATTTAATTTACATTGTCAAAGTTCTATATATCTATATCTATATATATAGATATTGATTTCAATAACCAAATTTAGTAAAACTTTGACAAACCATTTGTAGCAAAATATATATATTCTATTTTGTTAACATTGTGTAAGGGAATGCGAGGCACAGTTCAGTACTGCTATACTATATTGGTGTCAGCTACAGCTTCTATTGTCTAATGTTTCTGTATTTTCAATTAATTGTTTGTGTTGTGATACGTCTGAAAAGGATGCACATATTTTTCATTCAGTCATTGCACATCCTCCAAATATTCGAGTCTTCCCTTCACACACTATTGTGGACTTTTCCGGAAGTCGACGTAGGAGAGAGGCCAGCTTTTAGTGTCAAGTTACAGGACGATAACCATATTTGGAAAGCCATTCATGCAGTCGAACGCCCGAGTCGGGTAGAACTGTAATTAAACTAAGGCAAGAGAACAGAATTATAATCGAATAATTTACTTTTCGTAGAAATAACTTATGTGGAAAAGTTGAGCCTACTGCCTTGTTTATCCGTCAAAGTGAACGCTGTTGTACTACGGTAAGTGACGAATTCATTCACTAACATGTCACCCATTCATAAAAACGTCAGCAGCTACGAAGCCTGCCGTTGGTCGACTTAAAGCGCGTGTTCGTTAGATCTCAGTGTTCTGTAGTCACATTACTCAGTAGCGTCTGTAGGGCGATAAAGTGTAAGGTTTGGTTGCAAAATTAAGTATTTGTTTCTGATTTGTACGTTGTCATTTCACCCAAATAATTTTTTGTTTACTCAGTAATTATTGAGTTTCTTCTAGTTTTGAAAAAGCTGTTTGAGAAAAGTTTATCTGAATCTAAGGTGATACTAGGCTTTTGCTTGCTTGGCTAGGAGCCAAGTGATAATAAGCAGTTTACTCATTGCTGTATTCAAGCATTTGACCTCGAACTCTTAACGATTCTCGTGTTTTTTACAGAGCCTGTATCTACTGTCTCTGTGGTGTTTCAAAATAATCGTCCGTGTAACAAACAGTAAAGAGAACAGTTCAAGCCGCTGGCATCTGTATGGATACAAGAAGAGTCAATAGCTGAGCTGTGGTACATGGCTCAAAATGGCGGAGTGCCACCGTCTGCAAGTCTCCTGGCTCAGCCGGGGTTCCCGGCGGCACGTGCACAGCAACCGCCGTCGGCTCTCGTGCAAAGTGATTTTGTTACTTTAGGACATCCAAGGCCAGGAGGCGTTCGAAAAGAAAATGTGTATACAGACACACCACTGAGAGCTGAGAAGGATGATCATAAGGTATCAGTCCATCTTCCAGTCCCTTCCCAAGACAGGCGAATAATTCAAGCTCAGGCAAGTAATAATATCAATCTAGGCCTAACGCGGAATTCATCTCAGAATTTTGGGCTTCTCAGATCACAGCTACCTGTGACAAAACAACCAACTGTGACCTCTTTCAAGAAGGAAAAACTCACAGATGTACCAAATGATACCTCTGACAGTTCAGAAGATAGTCACGCTGAGTCCATAATTTGTCACGAATGTCGCAGGTGTAAGTGCGAATCTTGTCGCAAACCTCGGTCTCTCCCTTCCAAATGGATTTGTAAAGACAAGTACCTGTGTTCGGCGGACTCCGTTGTGGATTGTTGTTCATGCATGTGTTGTGTGAAAGGTGTGTTTTACCATTGTGCAAAGGATTATGAGCTAGACAACGATGTGCCCTGTGCAGATGAGCCATGCTCCTGTCACCCTCAACAGAGGTGTCAGAGATGGGCAAGTTTAGGAGTGCTCTCTGCTTTGTTACCTTGTTTACTTTGTTACTGGCCATTGAAAGGTTGTGTTAAGATGTGTGAAATGGGATATAGTCGATTGTCGAGTCCAGGATGTCGATGTGTCCCTCGACGAACAATTAGGTCCCTTAGTGCAGAGAAAGCGCCAGAAAAGGGTCTTTTAGACACCAACTCGGACTGCTAACTTCCACAGAAGCTGGACGGGTTTTGAAGTGGAAAAAAAAAATGATGTAACGAATAGTGTGAAAATATTAGCGACTACTCGAGCAGTTTGTCCAACCGGTGGAATTGACAACATTGAGTCCAGAGGGTCGTCGTTTAATGCGTTTTCCACGGTTCCATTTGAAGGGGTAACACAGCTTTGCAAGAACCATGGTCATCAGTCAGTTGAGTGCGTGTGTCCATGTGCTTGTGTAGTTTGTGTAAAGAAGCTGTTGTAACAAATTCGAAAAGGATTTCCTTGCTTTACGGTTTCAGTAACGTTGAGGATTTGAACGTAAGAGAATTAACTTCACTTGGAAAATTAAGAACAACGAACAAAAGTAAGCTTTTACTTCACTTTGTTCTTACGATAGATAACCAGAAAGCACTTTCGCATTTTTAATTATTTTCAGATAGTTCCCACATAACTTAATTCTACTGATAAATTTTTACATGAACCTGAAATTTACATTTCACTATAAAATACTTGTTAAGTTAATTTCGTTTTTAAGTTGTATATTTTTCCTAATTTGGCATCAGTCACGTACACTCCATAGCTAGTTCAACTTTTTAGAATGGTAATTTATCACCTCCGTAAAGTAAAAGTGAAAGTAGTTCAAATAAAGATGATTATGTTATTGAGAGGTATGCCATTTTATTATGTTTTACTTATTGTTAATCCCTGCGGCTAGATGCCCGAGAACCGTGTAAAAGTCACCATCTATATTAACTTGGACATAAATATGTTACGCTGCGTCTGGGGCCTTGTTCTGTTGAAGGCTATCGTATCCCCGAAATGGTTGTTGATGTACACAAGACCTATGCGCACATTGCAGTATATTACACATGCTTGACTCGTTAATTGTAATATTAACACAACAAAAAGGTTAGTATAATAGTGACGAAGTATGAAAAGCAATAAGCTTTAATATATGTAAATTTGCATACTTTAACTTTTGTTCCATGCTTATCTGTACAACAGTTACGAAATTTAGTTTTTTTTAAAATATACAACATATATATATAAACACATCAGATATATGTTTATCAAAAAAAAATTAAACCCTAAAATTATAATTTATAAGACTATCGATTAATAGTAATTCAATTTTGCGAAATAAGTACGCGTTGTTATTGCTGTTGAAATTATGGATTAAATCCTTTTCTGAGTCGGTACAAAATCATAAGTTTTTTTTTTTATTTGTACTACGTACAACTTGAAACCTTGTTACTGTTAGGAATAATATTAAGAAAATATGTTGAAAACAACATTACAGTTAATCTTTAAAAAAGGTTGTACGTTATATATATAAAACTGTTTAAATACTATAAACAGCAAGAATGTCATATAATGAAAGAGCTCACGACTGAAAAAAACTCGACAACCCGAACGCTTTTCGGAAAGTAGTTGAGAAGTGAGAATTACATTCCAAAAGTGCTCGAGTTCTCGAATTTCTTGAAGTGTGATTTTTTTCCCCACATTTTTTTATCTGACGAGTATTCTAAATATCAGAAAGTATTATGAATATTTCGATGGGATTTTTACATTATGAGTTACAAGCCTTGTGAATATTTAAGAATTCGGTTGTTTTAAATCAACTTAAATATTTGTTCATCCATTTACTAATTTGGATACCTCTGTTAAGAACTTTATTAACCTTAAACTTCTTTGAAACAATGGTAGAATATTTTAATCTAGGCTTATCAATTTTCGAGCATTAGCCTCATTATCGCTTACGTCCATTTACTTGTAACGTTCAAGTTTTCAGTTTAAGTAAGCGCAACACCGTCTTGTAAATATTTTCAACTAACCAAATAACATTTTGCGTGTAAGCCACCACGCAACTTTTGGAACTAGCCTCAGAGCTTGAAGTAGTATTTGTTAGGCACCGGATTAAGCCATTGTATTTGAAATACTTTCACATTTGCAATCTGTCAGGAGGTTTTGTGTACAATTTCTCTATCTCTTTATGTATATCTTCATTTCACGTGTCTTATTCGTAATTATTTTAAGCACAGAAATAATTGTTTCATTGTAATTTGTGTTTAATTTAGTTAACACTATTTCATTTAAAATACAGTAACCATGAGTAGCGCTAGTAAAGTCATGACTCAAAGGTTAATCTATCATCAGTTGTAAATAAAGTATCGTACTCCTCATGGTGTATTAAATTAGGACTATGTATGAGTGATAAGAAAGTAACAAGAATTAATAGTTCAGCATTAGGGAATGTTAAACAATAGTACATATAATACGTAACTATGAAGCCAGTATATGGAAATAATGTAGTAAGTTTTTAGATATATATTAGACAAAAAAAAGCTATTGGTATTTGCTTTTTTTTTTTAAACATACTGAGGGAAATTGGATTTTAGATGTCAACTTTGTATTCTATAAAATTAATTAATGACAAGTTGAAGTAATTTTATTAGGATATCTGAACAAAGGCATGCGTGAATTGCAGATAGGAGTAAATATTTAATATGTTGTTCAAAACTGAAGACACAAAAGTTACCGACGCAATGCAATATGTTTTGAAAGACAAGAAACAAACAAAACAGCGGATCATGTGATTAGAATTTTGCTGCTGTTGTTGTTTGAGAGTACCGAGTTTAAACTTTTTAGGTCAGATTAATTGAACACTACACGAAAATCAAAACTTATGTTGCTTTTCTTTTCAACATTGGTTTTTTAACCAAAAGAGCATCGATTCAAGTGCTATTAAAACATTCGTAGACTTGAAAACAAAAATCAAAACGGGCTCTTGATATCTGCATTCCGCGCTATTAATGCCTTTTAGTTCTCGGACAGTTTTGATTTGCAGATATTTGAATTTCTTGTCATCGACGTCTATGTAAACCAGTACATCACTCTTTAATGCTTCTGTCATGTTATATGTATTATTGTAACTTTTAAGTAAATGAAGTCAAATTATTAAATTAGAAACAAAAACTTATCCGAAGTCATAATGTATAGAAATTATGTTGTTGTTTTCTCTCTCTCTCTCTCTACACACACACAAACACACACACATATATATATAAAAAGTTGTCAACATTCTTTACTGTAGGCCATTCATAAATTTCTGTGTTGTAACAGCTATACAGAACTATTAACACTTCTATCCTTGTGTATATACGTAGTAGGCTTTCAGTAAGTTGTGTAATTGTGGAAAGGTATTTATTGTTGGACATTTCAGCGAAGTCGCAATTATTTTATATGAAACGTTATATTTATTTCCTAAAGGTACAAAATGTTGATTCCGATTATGCCGAATGGCCAATAAAGATTTCAATAGCCACGAAAACAGTGTTATTGTAGTTTTTACCATGATGTAATTTAACTCAGAAAAAAAAAAGCTTCAATAATTATTCATTGAAGTTGGAGTTCATCAAGTGCAAGCAGTAAACCTGAATTTTTGACAAGAAACAACTGTTTACGTCAGTGAGGGAAATCGAAGAAGATGGCGCACATTTGATCGTTCTCATCTGAAGGTTTTAAATATTTTTCATTGAAATATAGCCAACTGACATTTTTGAACAGTTGTGTATACGGTTTCTCATTTCTATGTGTGTTAGAATATTAATTTTGTCAAAAAATTAACACCATATAGTTGATTGTTGAAACTACGTTCCTTTTTTTTTTAACCAGTTAATAATATTTACTTGGATGGATAAAATCCAATGTCTGGTAAGCAACGATATGAAAGAATTCGCTTTGTGACAAATATTTGAGGAAGAGGTACAGACAGGATTTAGCACATTGATGTTTGTGATGAGGGTTCGAGGACAAAAATTAATACAATTAAATATACAGATGTACTTCTTAGTCATTATTGTGAGAATACATAGTCAATTGTCATTTGCTCCTCCTCTTTTTTCCAACTCCAGTGTGTGGAAAGATCGATACTAAAGTTTAAGGTTTCCTGTACAATAAACATATTTTATATTATTTATATGAATACATAAGGAATGAATAAGAATTAGGAAGACATTTAAATAAAGACAATTAACGTAGCACGTGAAAAGATATTTACTTAATCAGCAAAATCTCTGAATACTTCCAATTCGTTTAATATGGATAGCTTTTTTGGAGTTCAAGAGAAACAAACAACAACTGCGCATCTTATAATGTTAACTATCACTGAATTTACTAAAAATATATAAATAATTTCAACAGCTTGTCTGGCTGAATAATTCACAAGAGTAAATTAGTTGCATCAGTGTAGCATATTCTTGAAATTCTCATATAAATATAGGATCACTGTGAGTAAAAGACTTTTCTAAACACCATACGATTCACTCATGTTATTACTGTAGACATATACTGTTGTGGACATCAATGTTGATACAGGTTAAAGATTTCTTTTTACAACATCTGAAACACTGTTGAACCTCAGGCTATCCTGATAATATTCTTAGTAAAATCCACCTTGTATTTCAAAATTGAGATGCCCTTTAAAAAAAATATAAAACCATTCTATGTTTTGAAAAACACTGGGTATTATATCTTTATTTAGAGAAATGTTTATTCTACCTAACCAGTTTTAACTTATGAAGGTTTACATTATTAACTTATATTTCTATGAACGATCATTGTTATAACAAAGATACTGGCTCTATATTAGTGTCACAGTGGTTTTTCATAAGATGAACCGTTTTTACTTTTTTTTTGCTGAAAGAGTATTTTTTATTTGACGTGTATTACTTTTGAATTAAGCTTTTAATTAGCTCATAACGTAAGCAGTTTATGTCATTGAAATTCATAAATATACTTTGAAATGTGCAGAACCTACAAAATTGCTAGTCATGACGTTGACAACGACGTTAAAGAAGAAGTAAAACGTTTTACTTTGAATGGAAGTCGATCAAACTTCTGTTAACTGCAAAGACGAGACTGCACCAAGTCTGTCTCATTCACACTTTGTTTGAAAGCAACTTGATGTAAAATTTGTTATACTGAAATTCGCTTTTTACGAATATAAGGTTTCTTGGTGGGGGTGATCGCATTACGCCATTTTTCTCCAACTTTACTTGTAATCAAAATAGACAAACTTTTTATAACGCTTGTTCTACAGATGAGAATGTTATTTTTTAAATGACCAAAAACTGTGGGATACTTCATGCCATTATAAAAAACCAAAATTAAAAAACTGTTACTATCAGGTTCACTTTTGTCATCCAGAGCTCACCATAAAAATCAATATTTTGTTGATGAATTGTTGCTAGATTCGATTGTGTGTAAGTGTATACATCTATGGAAGGTTAATGTGATAAATAATGTTAACTTCTGATCAGAGCAAGTTACCTATTGATAACAAACATTAACTTTTAAATAAAA